ACATTCTATTTAAACAACATCTTATTTTTTTGTGTTTTTTTACTTAATTCTCTTTTTTGACTTTTAATGGCAGCCTGTTTCTTTTTTTTTTTTAACCCCCCCCCCCCCCCCCCCCCCCCCCCGCCGGCCCGGGGCACTAGTAGGTAGGTAGTGTTGGTTATGCGTTTCGAGACCACTGTGGCGATCCTAACACTCTAGTTGATCTTAAAGTGAGCTGACCTCAAGGTGAGCTAACCTCAAGGTGAGCTGAAATAAATAACGCTTTCTTTATTAGGTAATCACTCAAGGTCAACATTTGGGGTATTTCCCACCGCCCCCGTTTCAATTTTCCATCAAACTCTACAAGACTACAACTCACTTCAATCCAAATCTGAACCCACAAACGCTCAAACCAACAACACAACGCAATTGTAAGGACTGTTCATCGAACTCATGACCTTTTTTGTGTAAGAATCACTGACTAAACAAGATCAGCATCTATCAACGCTTAATCAAGCAACATGTCCGCCCAAGCCAATATCAACATCGGTGATAGCGAGGAATGGACCCCCATGATGAGAGATTGCACAGGAGACGATCCCAAAGACCACAGAAAACCCGACGACAACTTTCGTGCCCTTTGCGCGCACCGCGAGGCGACACATGCGAGAATGACTGAGCAGGGGCTGCCAGACGCTCAAGTACATCCTGACTGGCAAAAGCCCGGGAGGGCTCAGTACATGATGCAGCCACTGATTGTTCATGGCGAGGAATGGATTCGCCAAGTTGCCGAGACAAGAAAGATGATGGCGCGAAAAGGCCTCGAGGTCCCGACCGATCCACTCCCAAAAGCCGGGGAGATCTTGGTGCAAATGTTCCTCGAGCTCGACGAAAAGGACAGCCAGACACAATACCGGGCTGTCCCAGAGGACCAAGTTGCCGCTCTTGAGGCCGAAGGTTGGAAAGTCTAGTACGCACCACCTTTGTGTCGAGGGCCCAAAGAAAGAGGTTGGCGAGATGAGCGCATGATACCTCGGCCCAAGGACGTTTTCTGCTACGATGATCCGGCCAGAGACACGGACCGCTTCCTCAAGCATGCTAACGAGTACGCCGAACACGGCCTCTCGACGCCAGGCAAGGAGATCTGGAAGCCTGGTTGCCTCATCGGCCCAGATGGGGCTGACGAAGATGTCAAGAATCTTTCGAAGAGTTATGTCCCGTGGGAGAACCGCTCGGAGGTCACCGAATCCCGCTCTGCAACCTCCAGCTCGCACGGTCTGATACACCCAAGACCCCGCGGAGTGTGCGTCGGTTGGGGTGGATACGATGAATTCATCGACTGGCAGCTACATGGTCGCGCCGTCCGGCGTGAGATGGTGGAACACAGAGACTATCAAATCCCGCCCCCCGAGAACACGCCTATGGACCTCCCTCCTCTCGAGCTTGTTGACGAGGACGGCAATGTGGAAGTCGTTACCTCGACCTTGGGTCGAAAGGTCTTGGCAGGCAAACCTGTCCAGACCCTTTACGACAAGATCCATCGCTCCAAGGCGCATTACAAGAAGGGTCCCAAGGCAAGTAGCAATGCGCAGTCCTAAATCGACTGGCGATGGCAAAGTGACCGGGCCAACGCCCACCGACTGCGGCCGTTTCAACACCATACCGGGCATTAGCCCCAACCCAAGGTCGGGTTGGTACTTTCAAGCCTCATTTGGAGTTTGAAATAGTCGTTCGATTCGACTACCGATCAAATTCTGCTTCGCCGGGTTTCCTCATTTCTCGCTCACGGAAAATGGTACCCATCACTAAGAAACACAAGTTCCATACCCACCATAAACTTTGACGATGTCACTGATGACTGCAGTGCAGAGAGATTCGCATTTACGAGACCAACTTCGATTGGATGCCCAAGCTTTGAGCCATCGACATGTGACTCTCTCCCAATATCCCACCGCGCCAAATACCAAGCCTGGGAAGTCAAAGAAAGATATTGTAATGCCGAACGGGTATGTATTGTTCTGGACAAAACGCCTCCCCGACAAAGCACCGCAGCCCATGCGGCTGTCGCTCGCGAGGCTGGGAAATGGTGCGTTATGGTGCTCGAAATCTAAAGGGGCAAATGCCTTTTCCAGAGGAGAGAAGGGTATACCGCACCGGCATCCATCGCTAGCCTATTCTCCCGTCGGGTTCCAGACAGCCAGCCATCATGCCCATATACAGTCCACCCCTTGAATGTTTATACCACATACTGTACAAAAGGGACTTACCCCCGGTTGCGTAGTCTCTTAGCAGAGACACGGGCCCTGGCACCATTCGATCGTCATTAAGGTACGTCAATATCTTCACGCTAGCAATAGTCAATGATGAACACTCTATCTCAATTTGTTCTTGACTCCTTGCTAGCTATGTACTCTTTTTACAAACTTACAGGAGTTGGATTGTATGCAGTTGCAGCTGTTGCGAGCCACAGACGTAGACTCGTGATCAGACATGTGCTGCGCCAAGAGCCCCATAATTGAGGGACCAAATTGTGACGCGCTAGGCGGCGCCTGGAGCAGTGGAGAGTGGAGACGCTTTCTCGAACGCGTCTCAAAAAAAAGGGTTAATGTCGCGACAACTGGCCAAGATGCGTGACGTCGAATCTGATGAATGGGCTGCAACAGCGTGCCGAGTCTCGAGCAGGGCCAATCAACCAGAGGGCGGCTGGTGACTCTGATAAGGGCCGCTCAGGACACGTCTGGGAAGGGGAGATTGTGACTTCACTTGGTCGACGAGGGGACGGCAAGGTACGTCTCTGTTCGGCTGTTGATACTTTTGTATGACCATGGCGGCCCGCCGCCCAACCCAAGAGGTAACCCCCAAATTCAGGCTCCATGTCGTGGCAGGGCCGCAGGCTGGCCAACAGCCGGCACATTAGCGCATTTGTCAATCGCGGCACTGGTTCCAACTTCCAAGTTCTCATTTGCTCGATAATCGGTCAACGAAAGAAACCAACATAGACGGTACTGATCGTGAGAGACGCGCAGGGAACCGATGCCTCTGAAAGTCTCAATGCACACAATGTTGCCGCGTATGCCTCAAGGGAAAGTCAGGCTTCAGCTCAGGGTCTTTGATGCCGTAATTAACGAAGACGGGGGCGCCTTCCCCCAGTAATTATTAGTCGTGCCCAATTTTAGCCCCCCGGCAGGTTGTTCCTCGTCCGTCACATCTGAGTGGGTGATAAGTCGGTGCCCCTGACGGATCCCAGCCAGACCCAGCCCAAGTGCCTGTAGGAGTGTAGGCTGCTGGACAGGATCTGCTGCCACTTGTGATGCCGCTCGCTCACCTCCATCTCTCCGTTTCGTTTCTTCATTCGCTCTTCTCACCATTCTTACTCGAGCGCTTCCTCATCATTGGCAGGCATTCGCCCGTCGTCCGTCAAGCCTCACTTGGCTCTTGCGTTCTTTCCACCTTTCCCATTCATCAGCTTCGTGTACCTCCATTCTACGCGCGCCCATCCATCTGCCCCTCCATTATTTTCGCCCGACTACGAGAGAGCACCCTGATATTCAATCACTGGTAGTTTTAACGGCCATTATACCTCTGTTCTCCTATTGCGCGCGCGACAAGCAGATACCGCTGCAGGCCATCTTCATATTATCCCATCAATTGTATTCGAACATTTTTTATACCAGCTCAAGCTTGACTGTGGACCGTCTCCCGCCTCAGAAGTCGGGTAGCTTGCTTCTGCTCCTACTTGGTATCAGGGGGCCCATTGGCAAAAGCAACTCCAGGGCTGCTTGTGATACAGTACGCGCAGCTTCGCCTTGACTCGACACTGGCTTTTCGACCTCTCAACACCTGATTTACCGGCCATACCATCACCATCGACATGCCTGGGCTGTTCTCTCGCCTCAAGGGCAAGGACACCAAGTCCAAGAAGAAGAACGCTGGCCCTGACCTCGCCGACTCGACTCCTTCGAATCCTCAGTGGGATGATGCGTGGACGCGAAAGACTGTCGAGCCAGAGGAAATCCACGAATTGGTACGATGTTGCACAGAGGAGCTCAAGGCCAGAGGTGAGACTGCAGACGCCCCGGAACTTACTACTGAAAACGCTGACAATGGTGTTGCACTGCAGGCCTCGATCTTCCTTTTCTTCTCCTGCCCTTCCGTCCAACCTCCGATCCCAGCGCTGTGCGCACCTTCATACGACACTTTTTCGATCAGAACCACCCGCCCCGAGGCGAGGCATTGCTACAAGAGATCCGGATCGCAGAACCCATGGTAGGTCCGATATGACTTTGTGAGAGAGTACTGGTGCTGACCAGATTTGTAGGTCTTGTCGGGCGTCGTGAAATGGTGCTGGAGTCGCATGCAAGGTGGTGTTGTGGGCTGGGACGCCTACGAGCTGTTCAAGGTTGGCGAGTATGGTGTGTTTACCCCTGAGAGTCGGCAAGACATGTGTAAGCTGACCACGGGCCAGATTCCAACATGGCTCGCGACTCCTTCAAGACTTTCATTCCGATCAGCGTCGAGAACGGCGCGCGACAGCGTATCATCTTCGATTTCTTCGACTTGCTGGCTGCTGTGGCTGCGCACGGTAAGACCAACGGCTTTGGTGGTCGCAAGCTGTCGCGCATGGCGGCATGGTGGGCCTTTGAACAAAAAGATACAGGCAATGGCTTTGAGGGGGGCTACAACAGCTGGTTGAGGTACATTCTTGCGCCGGACGCTGGATGAAATAATGCTAACGGGGACAGCGCTGCCGATGCCACGAGCCACCTGTTCTTCGCCTACCTCAGGTCACTGGCCCCCGAGACAAACCTCACTGGCATATCAATGCTTCCACGGTCACTGCAGAAACTCGTGCAAGAGACCGAGTATCCGCCCATGAAGCCCGAGCTGCTTATGTCGAGGACCAACAAAGTCGTCATGATTGTCGAGACAGTCTCGCCCACGCCCTTCTCCCTTCTTCGACGAGCGAATCATTTTCAGTATCGTGACTCCGACCGAGCTCTTCAAGAGTTCTCCGAATACGACGACCCGGTGCAAGCGCTGTCCGAGGAGTGCAAACGCGTGCTCAAGGCTGTCTCAGCAGCCAACCAATCCCAAGTATCGAGCGCAAAACACTCTACCAGCCTGCGAGAGGCATCATGGTCTAGATTCGAAGACATTGGTTTCAGCAGCGCTTTGGAGGAGGACGAAGATGAGGATGACAGTGCTTTAACGAGGAAGCACAAGCAGCGCACCGACGGTCTGCGAACGTCTCCATCATCCGGCAATGTGTTCGACCGGCCTACGACTCCCTCATGGGCGGATTTCCTCTCCTCTGGTTTTGTCGATGACTCCCAGTCGAGACCTAACCTCCTCCTCCCACCCGACAAGGTCCTTCCGCCTCTGGACACTCAAGCAAGGCAACGCAGCTCGCAGTCACACCGCCCCCGACTCGAGTCCGACCAGGACCTTGATCCTGGTGAGTTGGCTAGTATCACATTCCTAGACCTCGATGACGCCTTTTGGTGGGTATGGATGAGCAGCCTCGCACCTGAAGAGACACCGGACCGAAAAGCGGCGTTCGGACGTTGTGCCGTCGTAGAGACTAAGATCACCAGTGGACGATGGCTCGTCATGGAGGAGATGATCGCTGGAGCCGCGCCTGAGCCCCAAGAAGGCGCGTACATTGCCGAGAAGAAGGGCCTCTTCAGTTGGACGCGCAGAGGCAAGAGTCTCGGTCGCCGCAAGTCTACAGGGAAGCAGGCCTTGGACCGGGGCGACAAAGGTGGCAACACATTCGGCTCCAGCAAGACCAACATTGGGCCCGACACACATGCGAGGATCCAGGCCAAGGCGGCGCAGTTGCGAGCAGCCAGCGACCAGGAGAAGCAGGAGGCTCTGAATGCCCAACGCCGTGGGCGAGACGCTGACTCTGCTGATAAGACCAAGAGTGTCATGAGTCTTCAACCGACCATTGTAGGCGAGGCATCGTCCGCTATGAAGTGGGTTAAGAAATACGATAAGGCCTCGATCAAGGACGCTTATATGGCAAATTCGTACGCCGGAAGAGGCACTACCCTGTCTCTGGTCCCCACAGAGGATACCAATGGTCATCACGAGAGCAATGACGCGACCCAAGATCTTGCAAAGGCCCCTGAGCCACCGAAGAAGGAGGCTGCGCCAGCGCCAGAACCCCAGCCTGCTGCTCCTGCTCTTGCTTCTGTCCCAGCAAGTCCCGTCCCGCTGAGGAAGCCCGTGGGGTCATCTGTGCCTGTCAATCCCGTGCCAGCGCCAACTGAGCCCAGTCAACCTGTGGTGCCCGAGCCCCAAGAGCAGCCAGAGCAGCCAGAGCCTGTGCAAGATCTGCCGGAGCACCCCGAGTCTGCGCCTGTGCCAGAGCCTGAGGCCCAGCCAACACCACCTCCCAAAGACACCCCTGTGGAAGAGCTTCCCGCACCTGAGCCGGCAGTTGTAGTGACCGAGAGCGGTAAGAAGAAACCCAACAAGGGATTCCGAAAACTGTTTAGCCGCAAAAACCGTGCCTCCAAGCTGCCAGATAACGCTGCGGCCGATGTCAACGAGATGCTCCGCAAGGATGCTGAGGCCCCGGCTCAGCCAACGACGATACAGGAGAACGAACCTGCGTCTGTGGCTGAGCCTACGCTCGAGATGCCAATGACCGATGAAGCGCAAAGGCTCCATGACGGCGACGAACTTTCACGCGTCGACACGAAGGATGCGGCAGAGGCCCAGGCGGAATTCTCTCGCTTCGACCAAGGGCCTCTCCAGGACCAGCCGGCATTTGTGCCAGACGACGATGCCGAGAGCGACGCTACGCCCCGATCCATCACTCGCCGTGCGCCTAACCGCAATGGAACGTCCATTAAGAGTTCGCATGAGATTATGAGCGAGGAGAAACTGGCGCAGAGCACCAGCCCGGGCATCCAAGACCGTTGGGCTCAGATTCGCAAGAACGCGGCGGAGCGCGCTGCCCAGTACCAGCGCCCCGAGGATGAACTCTCTAGCCGGGGCCCCGAGAGGAAGCACTCTGGCCATGATGAAGATGATGACACGAGCGCAGAGGAGAGTAAGTACTACGCTACACACGTATTCCTCAACCACAGCTAATCTCTCGACAGCCATCGAGTCCCGCGTTGCTCGTATCAAGGCCCGTGTCGCCGAGATTACAGGCACAATGGAAGGGGTCCAGGGTCCTGCAAGCCCTGGAGGTCTTCGAACACCACAGCCTTCCCGCAGCCCTCAGCCAACAAGCCCTGCCGCTGAGTAGAGTGAACGGCGGCTTTCCGTTGAGGACTCTCAGCAGCAGCAGCTTTCGCCGTTCAAGCGATCGACCCAATGGTTTCGTCTTTTAATTCAAGTCTGATCCGTTCTCCCCATGTTGTTTTTCACGCTCAAGTTCAACGAACCATATACCAATCTGCTTTCTTTTCTTACATATCAACAATCCCAGCTCATGATACCACTAGAGAAACATACAGCATCCGGAGCAGCGGCAGGCAGCAGTCAAGGACTTCTTGAGCTAGTTGAGATACCCTACTAGTTGGTTCAAGGGTGATTGGTCTTTCCACAGGAGCAAAAGGGCCTGGAGCCTGGAGCTTCGTTTTCCTCATTTGTACCTATAGGCAATGCTTTGAGCCAAACGAAACCACGACGGTTGGCGAAGCGAGCGCGTCAGACCTAATGCAATTCTCCAAGTATTCAATACTCTTGAGCTTTATGAGACTTTACGGAATGCGTGTATTCCGATACTCTGACCGTTCTATTGTGACAGGTCCAAGAAGAGGTCTATGCTCTGGTGCCGTGCCCTCCTGCAATGTATTCTAGCACAGAACAGCCTTGATCTACCGGTCTACTGGCAAGCTCGTAGGCCGTTTCCGGTGTCAAAAAATGCTGTTCGTAGGTCGTGCTTGTATTAGCTGTGTGTGCCATTGTATGACCTATGGACTACCATTGTCCTTCATGGTGATTCTATGGAACTCCTCGTCGTCAGACATGGTCGATGTGGGCGTCACTGGACGGGCCTCATCCCGCACGCTGCTCTCCTTGTCTGTTGGCACCGTGCCATCCGGGCGAGGCGGGAGAGGCAGACTCTCCTCTTCGGTCTGCTCGGTCTTGGGCTGGTTCGCTCCACCCTCAGACTTGGGGTCCAACGCAGGAGGAGAGATGTTGAGTCCGCGCAGGTCATCTGCCACATCGCCCTTGGGGACCTCTTTCCTGGGGATGCTGTGCGTTTTCTTCTCGCTATCTTGTTCGCCGTCCAGGTCCACGAGCTTGCCCTCGGCAAAGTCGTTCTTCATCTGGATGACCTCGTCCTTCTCGATCGTGTTGCTTGCTTTGATGCCGACAAAGGCGCACTTGCGCAGAATCTCACCCGTGAGCTCGGGATACCGCTGGTGCCCACTGACCACGTCGCTCAGGTCCAGGTTCTCAATGCCATCGACATTCTTAATGGCTTGCAGTCCCGCGACACCCATGGACAAGCTGTACATGCGATACACAAAGCCTAGGATCATGTCGTTCTCAGAGTACACGTTGAAAATCTTGCCCGATACCACGGTGCGCAAGGTCCTCCAGTGAGAAGAGGCAGCCGGTGCTGGCGCGCCGATGATGACGACGCTCTCGATGAGGCCGAATGCGCGACGTTCGGCGAGAGTTTGGAGGCATGCGTGAATGGCGGCCGCTCCCAGTGAGTAGCCGATGAGCGTGACGGGCCGTTCGCCCTGGACCTTGTTGATGAGAGCATCGGCTAGTAGCTTGCCGGCCTTGCGCGAGCGGTTGAGACCTTGGCTGAAGGGGTTGTCGACGTTGGAGGCGGCGGCGAGGACCTGGATCGGCCACAGCGCAGCCCACAGAGTGGCGAACACGGTGCGTTTGATGACTTCTGACTTGAACGTGTTCCATGCCGCAGACTTGACGAGGTCGGAGAAGGCTGTCCCGAGGGCGATGAGGGTTTTCATCTCATAGCGGAGGGCAAAGACTTCGGTCTCTGTGCTCAGAGCGCGCCAGGGCTTGACAATATCCGCTTCTTCATTGAGCCATCCGTTGATGCCGATTGTCAGTCGGAGGCGGCGGTTCTGCTGTTGGTCTTTCGTTTCTTGGGAGTAATCTTTGCCCCATTCCTCCTGAAGGGGGATGAACTTGAAATCCTCCACTTCTTTCGCATACTTGTCCATCATTTCACCCTGGGTTGCGATCAGCCACAGCTACAACAGGTCCTCACGTAGAACGTACCGTCATCTTGGCGCCGTATGCGCCGAAGAGAGCTCCTACCAATGCGCCGTTCATCCAGAATATTCCCAGGAAACTGGCGACGCCCCCGAGGCCGATGCCACCGAGAACGCCACCCAACGCACCAGCTACGAGAGGCGCGGCCAGACCGCCTGTGACGCCGATGACAGCGGCTCCGGCGACTGAGGCTAAGCCCACCTTCCAGTACCGGCCGAACTTGTTCTCCTGTCGTTTCTTGGCGGCATCGGTCTCGGCAGACATGGTCGCTTGCTTGTCCTTCTCGTCCACGTTGGAAGACTCCATCAGCGTCTTGGCAATCTCCGTCTCCTCGTGGATGACAAAGGTCTGCGGGAGCTCCAGAGAGGATGCGAGATACAAGCCCAGCACGCGCGAGTGCGCCGAGTACTTGCCTGTCGAGAGCAGCAGAAGGAGTATGCAACTAAGCGCCTCCTTCCTGTCCCTGATAGAGGACGACGTGAGGTTCGTCGGCAAAGGCTGGTATAGCATCTGCAGGGCGTAAAAGTCCTCCGACTTGTCCACCTTGGCGTCGCCAAAGCTCATGAGATCCTCGCCCTCCTCGGCATGGTCCACGCCTCGCTTCTGCAGCTCCTGGGCGCGCTTCTTACGCTCCGCGACGATCTTGGCGTCGTCCTCGGCGCTGACAATCTCGCCAAGCTTCTCGATGAACTCCTGCTGCCACTCTGCCATGTGCTTGACGGCGGCTTGTTGGATGCGCATGGCTTCCTTGGAGGCCTTCTCGCTGGACTTGGGCTTGGTTTGCTCTGCCGCTGGCTTGGGTGCCCTGGGCTGCTGCCCGTCGTCATTCTGGGCTTGAGGGGTCTGCGATCCGCTTGAGGATTCGTCCTCGGTGGCAATGGGGCCGAGGTCATTGGATTGTGAATCTAGTTCTGCGATCATGCGCGTGGTAATCTCGGTGACGAGGCGGAGAAGAGCGCGCCTGCGCGCTGGCTCCAAGTTGATGACGATTTGTCGGGGGTCAGAGCAGAGGGGTGCCATGCTGGCTAGGTACAGTGTGAAGGGTGAGCTGACGCTCTACTGGCGCAGGATATTGAGAGTTTTCTAGGAGTAAGATATGATGATCAGGTAAGGTATGGTGATCTGGCACCCTCCTGTGGCCGGAGTGAGGCGTAGCATGTACGGTGTCCTGAGGGCCAACGGCCAAGGTGCGCGTAGCTGCACGTCATCGCTGGACGCGGTGCCGCGCTATGGATCGGGCAGTGGCAATGATCAACAGCTAAGTATTGTGCGCTCTGCGAGATGTATCAGATTTTGGACCAGAGCCTGCTCATTCGATGCATGCCAGACTTGATGTATTGACTCATTTGAGCGAAGGAAGCTTGCCTTTGAATTTGTCATGGTCGTGGTGTTTTGGCATTATAGACCGGGCCCCGCAGGCCATCGCCAGCAGACCGAGCAATAATCAGATAGTATCTTTGCATTTGTGTTTGAAATACATCCATGTTCATTACAGATTGATACTTTGTCTATCAAGTCTTCCACATTGCGTGACGGGGAGCAGCCATGAGTGAACCTTCAGTGTCCGTGTAGGGTAAGCACACAATACCAGATAAGCGCACGATAAGCTGCTAGCAAGGGTCCAGGTGTCCCCACCTAAATTTTGTCCATCAGGTTCAGCTGCAACTTTTCCACCCAGCATCACGACGAGACGATACGCGACAAGCCACAGCTTTCCGCTATGAATGCGCACGCCCTGCTCTCGGCGCAAGGATGGCGCGGCCACGGCCACTCTTTGCACAAGACGTCCGACTTGATCGGCTTGTCGAAACCTCTGCTCCTCAATCGCAAAGACAACACCAAGGGTCTCGGCACCTCGTCACACTTCAATGCGGACCAGTGGTGGCTCAACGCCTTCGATGAGCAGTTGAAAGGCTTGGAGACCAGTAAAAAAGGCCAGGTGAAGCAGATGGTCACCACGGGCAAGCTCAACACCGTCGACGTTGGCGGCCTTGGGAAATACTCCGTGTACAACTCCTTCGTCAAGGGCGGCTTCCTCGACGGCACGGTGGATCTTCTCAAGAAACAAGCGGAAGATAGCACCGACGACGACTCGAAGACAAAGAGAAAAGAGACAAAGGAGGAGCGCCGGAAACGAAAAGAGGAGAAGAGACAGCGCAAAGAACAACGTGCTGTGAGGCGAGAAGCACGCCATGCGCAGCGAGCTGTCCGGAAAGAGGCGCGGCGGAGAATGAAAGAGATTCGACGACAAGCCCGACAGGAGAAGAGGGCGGCGAAGGAAGACAAGAGGAAAAAGGAGGCGAACTCGGATAAGTCGTCCAGCGAAGAATCGTCAGGGGACGCCATCGAGGACGAGAAGCGCTTGCGGCGAGCGAAGAAGGAGGAAAAGCGTAGGAAGCGCGCGATCGAAAGCTAGCGAGGGTGAAGTGAGGTCTGCACGAGGAATGGGTGGGCGTTTTGGCAGCGGCATAGACATCACGATTAGACGCATTGCAAGGAGTTCTTGGTCACGGCAGAACATGGGAGTCTATGACACCGCAGTACAGGGCATCTGGAGTTAATTATACCTCTTTTGGGATTTTGCCTGGTTTATTTGACAGAATCCACGGTCTCCTGTCCCAGAATTCATCCTTGATGATATCCAAATGGTCCACCACAATGGCGGCCTTGGATCGGCGCTTCTTGTCATTCTCCGTCTGCTTCTTGGACTGCTGGACGGGCTCAGCTTGCGCGTCGACAGTCTCCGCAGTGTTGTGACTCGCGGGCTCGACCAGCTCGTACTACGCTTCTGTCAGAGCGGCGGTTCCAGACAAGTACCGCGGGTACTTACATCACGGAAGATGACGCTCCCCTTTTTGAAGATCTCGGGTTCGCGGTTGTAGTTGATGCCGAATTTCGAGAACAAGATCTCGTTCTTGTCAGCGGCCAATGTGCCCTGCGCTGTTAGTGTTGAGCGAATGCGGCTGATTGGACGTGGCTCACAGCGAGGGCCTGCTCTGCCTCTTTATTTTCCATGCCGCCGAGTTGAATTAGGGACCAGAAGGCTGTGTTGTATAGATTGTTGATGTGGCCTGCCCATGTAAGTGGAAAGGTCTCTTCGGCGATTCACGACACTTACAGTCGGCTTGCCGCCAGCTCAGGTAGTCACGCAGATTCTGGATGGTCGGGTACAACACGGCTCGCCCGTCGAACGTTGGCAGGGGAAACGACAGCGGCGTGTCCGGGAAGTGAGAGAACCAAGAGTAGACGTAGTTGGATGTGAACGTAGACACGACCGTGCTGACGAGTTTGCTGTCTGTCGTGAGCGAGTGCGGCACGTGTGTCTGGCAGCGTACCTACCTGGATCGCCGCTCAAACAGATTTGTTGATTTATGAAAGACAAAGCTTGGAGAATAAGTATCACACCAACGTGGCACGCCAAGAAGACCATACCTGTACTCGTCGCTCACGCCATATGCCAGTGTGATTTCTGGTAGATCGGCAATGACTGCTTTGGCCGCCGTGTTCATGAGATCCAGAGCCCTGCGGTCATTCGGTTTCTCGAACTTGTACTTGGCACACATCCTACGGAGAATCAGTAACGTAATAGGGAGTCTATGTAGAGTGTGTGATAATAAATACTTTGTAAAAGCTCTTCCATCTACGCGGACTACTATCCAAGTATTCGGCAGCAGAGGGTCTGGCTGCTCAAAATTGCGCACATATTCGAATCTGATTGCGATAAATGTCAGAGATGTGTTGCCCAGCCGGTGAGTTGGGCTTACCTTGAGTTCGCCATGATGCAGATGCTCGGTGTAGTGAATGTCGTGTAGCTCGGCGCCTTGCTAGGTCTTGGTTCAGCCCAAGAGGAAAATGTTAGTGCATCTTCACAGGATGCTAAGTTAGGTGGGGGGGCATCCCCCATATCCTCACCCCCAGGAGTGCGCTAGCGCAAGTGGACCCCAAAGCTTCAGCCTTGCATGAGCCGACTGGACTCACTGGAGGGCTGCGAGCGCGATCGCGCGCGGCTGCCCCTCGAAATCTTTAGCTTTCCCATGCCACAGTTATTGACATGCGCTCGACCTACCCGATTGCATCCTGCTCAGATTTGTTCGTCAATCACGCTCCGCCAAGATGAATCTCTTATTATCCGACGATTACCTCTTGCAGGATTACCCCGAGACCATCACGAATTGGATTCGGTCAGGGCGCACCACAATGATCCGTTTCGACTACAAGGGCGACTTTCTGGCGAGCGGACGAGCTGATGGCGTCGTTGTCATCTGGGATATGGAAACGATGGGCGTCGCGCGCAAGCTGAGGGGCCACAAGGCGGTCATCACCTTCCTCTGCTGGTCGCGCTGCGGCAGGTACCTGTTCTCGACCTGTCAAGGGTGGAAAGGGATACTCTGGGACCTTGAGGATGGCAGCCGGCTACGAGAGATCCGTTTCGAAGCGCCTGTATACATGGGTATGCTCCATCCGTGGAATCAGTAAGTCTCGTACGCAAGCACGCAGCGGCAACGCCCTGACCAGTCCAGTTTCCAGGTCGTGGTGGCGCTCTTTGCCAAACAGCCTTGCCTTGTCGACATGACCGATGGCGTCGATACGAAATATACCCTGTCGTCCGCGCCAAAACGGCCAGAAGGAAAGTTGACCGAGAAAGAGATAAAGGCCGACGCCGACGAAACCACGACCTCGGCGATATGGACGTTGAATGGCGACCATATCCTAGCGGGCACCGTCAGAGGCTGGATCAACATCATAGACGCATCATCTCGTGAAGTGATCTACTCCGAAAAAGTCTGCTCAGGCGCCGTCACATCTATGCGTCTCACAAGCTCGGGGCGTGAGCTGCTGATCAATTCACAAGACCGTGTGATTCGCACATTCCGCGTTCCCGACCTGTCTGCAGAGAACCTCGACCTCGATACGATACAATTCGCGCTCGAACACAAATTCCAAGACGTCGTCAACAAGCTTGCGTGGAATAACGTCACGTTCAGCGCTACGGGGGAGTACGTGGCCGCCTCTGCATACAACAACCACGAGCTCTACGTGTGGGAGAGGAATCGCGGCAGTCTAGTGTGCATGCTCAAGGACCCAAAGGAAGAACAAGGCGTGATTGAGTGGCATCCGTCAAAACCAGTCGTCGTGGTGTGCGGCATGGAGACGGGACGCATATACATCTGGTCGGTCGTCAGCCCGCAAAAGTGGTCTGCGCTGGCGCCAGACTTTGCCGAGGTGGAAGAAAATGTCGAGTACATTGAGCGGGAGGACGAGTTCGACATTTACAACCAGGAGGAGATTCACCGACGGAGATTGGATGCGGAAGACGAGGAGGTGGATGTCATGACACCGGATCCAGCCTCGAAAGCCATGTATAACGGCGACAGCTTTCGGATGCCGGTCCTCTTCGACGTGGGCAAGAGTGACAGCGAGGAGGAGTTTATCGAGGTGTCTACTGGCACCATGCGGCGTCGCAGTCCGGGCGATGGGCAAGATGATGACGACGATGGAGGCACTGTTAAGAAGGCCACAGGCAAGGGGGGTCGCAGGCGGAAGGTGTAGTGCGCGCCTGTGAATAACGACGTTATGATGGATGGTTTAAATGACAATTTTTTGGCTACTGAACCATGCTTGATCGAAGCTGTGATGCAGAAGCGCATCTCTAAATCGAGCAAGGAGACCGTCTGCATGACATATATTCTCTTTCCCACTTTTTCCTGAGATATAGACTTGGTGAGGAAGATAGCTTCGCGTGTTATTGTGTCATTGTGTCATTGTATCATTGTGGCATTGTAGTATTGTTGTGTCTACTAAGAAGTACAGTACTTACTAATATAATAGTTATACGCATCGTACGAATCACAGCCTCTGTAAGGTGTATAGTAGGCAGGAAGGCCTCCTTGTATCTACGTAATAGGCCCATTACTAGTGAGGATTATGTATCGAATTTATATCACGAGGAGTAATTATCAAATGCGCCCTCGACATTGTAGCCCTGATGCTTGATGCAGCCAGCATGAGATGCAATGAGTCAGTCGGCCATGGCCGAGCGAGTGGACAAAATGTTAGAGCCAGGACGGAACGCTTCATGCGCGCATGGAGCTTAATTATTAGAGTCAGGCGCTCAAACAGCGGGCCCCCGGGGCCAATCAAACTGCAAGGGCGCGTGAACCCGAAACGGCTTAGCGGCCCTCTGGACGTGTGGCGTGGCCGCCCTTTGTCAGTCAGACCAGCTGGAGAAGATTCTCTCATGCGTTCGCCCTGACATCCTCTCCGCAAACCTCTGCCAACCCCCCAACGATCATCACGACACGCGCCGAGCACCCGGCGCAACGTCAAGGCGACGTCCACGCGATACTTTCGAACACGAGAAATCCGATCCTCGAATCTGCGCACCTCCGAAGCTGGCGACGACGGGGGAGATTAGCCCGAGGTTCTCCTAGGCCGACGGCCAGGGCAGGCAGGCAGGCGTTGCTGCACGGGCGCCATCCGCCATCAATCGCGACGCGGGAAATCCATCAATCGATAGATATTTTGCGATTCCTTTCCTGTCATTCTCGACTATTTCTTCTCTTTTTCAACCGTAACCGGCGCACGCAGCTGTCAAGTCGCGCCTGAACACCCACAACCGCAACCATGGCGAACCTCTACTTCACGTACTCGAGCGCGCCGCTCAAGACGGTCGAGGAGATCCAGTTCGGCCTCATGTCTCCCGAGGAGATCAAGAATATGAGTGTCGCGCACATCATCACACCAGAGACAATGGAGGAGAACAAGATGACGCCTCGTGATGGTGGCCTCAACGACCCTCTGCTCGGCTCCATCGATCGGCAGTTCAAGTGCAAAACGTGCACCTCGGCCATGGGCGAGTGCCCCGGTCATTTTGGTCACATCGAGCTCGCAAAACCCGTCTTCCACCCTGGCTTCATCAAGAAAGTCAAGAAGATCCTCGAGATTGTCTGCCACAACTGCAGCAAAGTACTTGCCGATGAAGTTGGTCTCACCGGCCCTAGAATGTACCTGCTCCTTAGATGCTAACACATCATGTTTCCAGAGCGATCCCGACTTTGTAGCTGCCATTCGTACGCGAGACCCCAAAGTCCGCTTCCAGAGGGTATGGGCGACTTGCAAGAAGAAGAAGCAGTGCGACAACACGGAACGCGATTCAAAGAAGGACGACGAGTTTGCTCCTGGCATGAAACTGGCCAAGTTGCCGAGCCATGGAGGCTGCGGCAACGTGCAGCCTGCTGTCCGTCAAGCTGCCTTGCAGCTCAAGGCCTCGTACGAAACAACGTCCGAGGACGGTGTCAAGAAGAAGGATCAGCTTCCCATCACCCCAGAGCAAGTTCACAGCATTCTGCGGCGGATATCGGAGAGGGACATTCGCAACATGGGACTGAATTCTGAGTACGCTCGCCCCGAGTGGCTCGTCCTCACCGTCTTGCCTGTGCCTCCCCCGCCCGTGCGCCCCAGTATCTCGATGGACGGTACAAGCACAGGTATGCGCAACGAGGATGATTTGACTTACAAGCTCGGTGATATCATTCGCGCCAATAGCAACGTGAAGCAGGCCATCCGAGAGGGTGTGCCTTCTCACGTCGCGAGGGACTTTGAGGAGCTTCTCCAGTACCATGTCGCAACATACATGGATAATGATATTGCTGGACTGCCCCGTGCTCTGCAAAAGAGCGGAAGGCCCGTCAAGGCTATCAGGGCTCGTCTGAAGGGCAAAGAGGGTCGTCTTCGTGGCAACTTGATGGGCAAGCGTGTGGATTTCTCCGCACGTACTGTCATCACTGGTGATGCCAACTTGTCACTCGATGAGGTCGGCGTTCCTCGAAGCATTGCTCGCACACTCTCCTATCCCGAGGTGGTGACCAAGTACAACATTGACAAGCTGCGACTCTACGTTAGCAACGGTCCCAACGAGCACCCTGGTGCCAAGTACGTTGTTCGCTCCGATGGAACACGCATCGATCTGCGGCATCACAAGAAGTCCGGCGAGCTCACGCTGCAGTATGGCTGGAAGGTTGAACGCCATCTGGTGGACGGTGACTATATCATTTTCAACCGTCAACCCTCTCTGCACAAGGAATCCATGATGGGGCATCGCGTCCGCGTCATGCCATACTCTACTTTCCGCCTGAACTTGTCGGTCACATCGCCTTACAACGCCGATTTCGATGGTGACGAGATGAACTTGCACGTGCCTCAGAGCGAGGAAACTCGAGCAGAGGTCAAGGAGCTGTGTCTTGTTCCCCAAAACATCGTCTCCCCACAGAAAAACGCCCCTTTGATGGGTATCGTTCAGGATTCGCTCGCCGGTGTCTACAAACTGTGCCGCAGAGATGTTTTCCTCAACAAGGAGGAGGTCATGAACTTCATGCTATGGGTCCCTAACTGGGACGGCGTCATCCCTCAACCGGCTATCCTCAAACCTCGCCCTCGTTGGACCGGCAAGCAGCTCATTAGTCTTGTCATCCCGCCAGAGGTCAGCATCTCCGCTGGCGGCTCGGATTACAAATCACTACTTAAGGACGAGTCCTTGCTCATCCAGGGCGGCCAGCTGATCTACGGGTTGTTGAAGAAGAAGCACGTTGGTGCGCAGGCTGGCGGTATCATTCACATCTGCTACAACGAGCTTGGACCCGCCTCCGCCATGGCCTTTTTGAACTCTGTTCAACAAGTGGTGACCCACTGGCTGCTGCACAACGGTCACAGTATCGGTATTGGTGACACAATTCCCGACAAGGCCACCATTGACAAGATCCAACTGGACATTGATGATGAGAAATCCAAGGTTGCCTCCCTGACAGCCAAGGCTACGGCCAACGAACTGGAGGCGCTGCCTGGTATGAACGTTCGTGCCACTTTTGAGCACGAAGTCGGTGTCGCCCTCAACAGGGCTCGTGATCGCGCTGGTACTACCACGCAAAACAGTCTGAAGGACTCCAACAACGCCGTCACCATGGCCAACTCTGGGTCCAAGGGTTCGTCTATCAATATCTCGCAGATGTCTGCGCTTGTGGGCCAGCAGATGGTGGAGGGCAAGCGCATTCCTTTTGGTTTCAAGTACCGCACCTTGCCTCACTTCACAAAGGACGATTATTCGCCCGAGTCTCGAGGCTTCGTCGAAAACTCCTACCTGCGTGGTCTCACCCCAAGCGAGTTCTTCTTCCACGCCATGGCTGGTCGAGAAGGTCTGATTGACACAGCCGTCAAGACGGCTGAGACTGGTTACATTCAGCGTCGTCTTGTCAAGGCGCTGGAAGACCTGAGCGCGCGCTACGACGGCACTGTCCGCAACTCTCTGGGCGATATCATTCAGTTCTTGTACGGTGAGGACGGCCTCGATGCTATGTGCATTGAGCAACAGAAGATGGGCTTCCTTAACCCATCCGATGCCAAATTTGCCGAGAAGTATCAGTTGGATCTCGCCAACCCGCCAGAGTGGTTCAAGCGCGACTATGAGTATGGTGACGAGTTGCTCGGCGACAATGAGTCGATGAAGCTGCTTGACGAGGAGTGGGAAGCCTTGTGCGAGGACCGCCAGTTGGTCCGCAAGATCAACAAGATGAAGAAGGACGACGACATGATGCAGCTGCCCCTCAACCTGAACCGTATCATCGAATCGGCCAAGCGTATCTTTGGTGTCAAGATGACAGACCGCAGCAACCTGCGACCGACGGATGTCATCCCGACTGTGCAGAACCTTCTGAAGAAGCTGGCAATCGTCCGTGGCAGCGACCCCATCTCGCAGGAAGCCGACTACAACGCCACCATTCTGTTCAAGGCTCTTGTCAGGCACCGTCTTGCCTTCAAGGATCTTGTCAAGGTGCATCGCCTCAACAAGCTGGCCTTTGACCACATCATCGGTGAGCTTCACAACCGTTGGGATCGCGCTTTTGTCAGTCCTGGTGAAATGGTTGGCGTTCTCGCCGCGCAGTCCATTGGTGAGCCGGCGACACAGATGACACTGAATACATTCCATTTCGCTGGTGTGTCGTCTAAGAACGTCACGCTTGGTGTGCCGCGTCTCAAGGAGATTCTCAACTTGGCCAGCAACATCAAGACCCCTGCCATGACCGTCTTTGTGAACCAGAGGTTGGCCAAGCAGGAGCAGGCCAAGAAGCTTCGAAGTCTGGTCGAGTACACCAACCTCCGCTCGGTCACCGCCATGACTGAGATCCATTACGACCCTGATGTTCGGGGCACCAAGATTGAGAGTGATGCGGACATGGTCGAGTCCTACTTCATGATCGAGGAGGAAGGCCAGGAGCTGGTGGATCAGCAGTCCAGATGGCTTCTGCGCATCACCTTGGACAGGCAAAAGATGCTTGACAAGGAGATTCGTGTGGAAGACGTCGCTGCTCGCATCAAGGAAGAGTACGCTGCCGACCTGGGTGTCATCTTCAGTGACAACAACGCCGACGAGCAGGTCATCCGCATCAGGACCATTCAGCAAGACGGCGGCAAGGATGAGGATGGCGAGAAGAAGATTGAGGACGATGTCATGCTCAAGCGTCTTGAAGCGCATTTGCTCGATACCCTCACGCTGCGCGGTGTGCCTGGCATTGAGAAGGCTTTCTTGACCAAGGGCGTGACACTCAACGTGGCTCCCGATGGCTCCCAGAAGGCCCTCAAGGACGATGCCGACTGCACCGAGTGGTTCCTCGACACCAGTGGTTCCGCTCTGCGCGAGGTGCTCGCTGTGGAGGGCGTTGACGCGACCCGCACATCTTGCAACGACTTGTGGCAGATTGTTGATGTGTTTGGCATTGAGGCCACTCGTTCCGCTCTGCTGCGCGAGTTGGTCAACGTGTTGGCCTTTGACGGTTCCTACGTCAACCACAGGCACATGGCGCTGCTCGTTGACGTGATGACCTACCGTGGTGTGATCTCCGCTGTGACTCGTCACGGTATCAACCGCGCCGACACGGGTGCCCTGATGCGTTGTTCGTTCGAGGAGACTGT